TATGAAGTAAACATCACCTTGAATCCAAAACCAGGAATGAACTTCAGACTAATTTCAGTAATGAATATCGATGCAAAAATACTCAACAAAATCTTAGCTAATAGATTGCAGCTTCACATGAAAAAATTATGCATCGTGATCAAGTAGGCTTCATCCCAGGGATGGATTTATGCAAATCCATAAATGTAATTCACCACATTAATAGAAGCAAAAACAAAGACCATATGATCCTCTCAATAGATGCACAAAAAATATTTAATAAAATTCAGCATCCTTAAGAATATAGGCATAAGTGGCACATTTCTTAAGCTGTTGAAGACATCCATGACAAACCTACAGTTAATATCATACTGAATGGAGTAAAACTGAAAGTTTTTCTACTTAAAACTGGAACCAGATAAGGATATACAGAACTGCCACTACTATTCCACATAGTTCTATAAGTTCTAGCCAAAGCAATCAGGTAAGAGAAGGATTAAAAAGGGCATTCAAATGGGGGCAGAGGAGGTCAAACTCTAGCTCTTTGTTGATAATATGATCTTATACTTAGAAAATCCCAGGGACCCAACCACAAAACTCCTGGAAGTGATCAAGAAATATAGTAACATCTCAGTGTATAAAATCAATGTCTACAGATCAGTAGCCTTTTTATATGGCAATAACAGCCAAGTTGAGAAGCAAATCAAGGACACAATTCCCTTCATAGTAGCTTCAAAGAAAATGAAATACTTAGAAATGTATCTACTAAAAGAGGTGAAGGACCTCTACAAAAGGAATTATGAAACCCTAAGAAAAAACATAGCAGAAGACATTAACAAATGGAAGAACATACCTTGTTCTTGGCTGGGAAGAATCAACACTGTTAAAATGTCTATTCCACTTAAAGCAATCTACGTATTTTATGCAATCCCCATTAAAATCCCAATATCAAACTTTGTAGAACTGGAAAAAGTAGTACTTCATTTTATATGGAACCAGAAAAAAGCCCATATAGTCAAGGCAATTCTTAGCAATAAAAACAAAGCCAGAGGCATCACTCTATCAGGCTTCAGATTATATTAGAAGTCCACAGTGATCAAAACAAATTGGTACTGGCACAAAAATAGAGATATAGACATATGGAAGAGAATACAAAACCAAGAGATTAAACCAGTTTCTTATAGTCATTTGATCTTTGATGCCTACACACAGAGGTATATAGTAAGGAAAAAGAATTTCTATTCAACAAATGGTGCTAGAATTGGATAATCACATGTAAAAGAGTGAAACTAGACCCACACATTTCACCATTTACAATATTCAAGATGGATAAAAGATTTAAATCTAAGATACAAAACAATAAAAATCTTAGAAAGTGTGGAAAAATCTCTTGTTGGACTGTGGAAAGATTTTATAAATAAGACTTTAGTGGCAATCACAAAAAAAAAATAAACAAATGCAACTTAATTAAGCTGAAAAGCTTTTGTACAGCTGAGGACAAAACAAAGCAAAAAGACAACCTTCAGAAAGGTAAAAGATATTTGCATGGTTTGAATCTGACAAAGTGTTGATAACTAGGATCTACAGAAAACTCAAATTAATCAACAAAAAAGAGCAAACTATCCAATCAGCAAGAGACATGTTTCAGCAAAATACATGAACAAAAACTTCTTGGAAGAAGATGGATGAATGGCTAACAAACATTTGAAATAATGCTCAATGTCTCTGATTGTCTCTGAGATATCACCTAACCCAATACGATTAGCCTGTATCACAAAGTCTCAAAGCTGCAGATGCTAGCATGGATGTGGAGAGAAGGGAATGCTTTTTTACACTGTTCATGGGACTGCAAACTAACATATGACATGCTCTTAGGAAAGAAGTATGATGAATCCTCAAAGAACTCAAATTAGACCACCCATTTGACCCTAAATCCCACTAGTCAGCATCTACCTGGAAGAAAAAAAAATCATTTTATCACAAGGACATTTGCACTAGATTGTTTATCACAGCTCAGTTTACAAGTGCCAAAATGTGGAAACAACCTAAATGCCCACCAACCCAAGAATGAATGAACAACTGTGGTGTATGTGTACCATGGAACACTATTTAGCCATAAAAAGGATGGAGACTTTACATCTTTTATATTAATCTGGATGGAGTTGAAATACATTCTTCTCAGTGAAGTATCATGAGAATGGAGAAGCAAGTATCCAAAGTATTCAATACTAACATGAAGCCAGCAGATGATCTAATATATGCTCACAAAAGAGAAAAACTCAAATCAATTCAAAGTGGGGGTAGGAGGAACAAAGGAGGGGGAGTGGGAGGGGGATGGGTATGCTCCCAGTTAATGGGCACAACGTTAGGGTATATGGTGGGACATAATTTTAAGAGGAACACTACCTAACAAATGCAAACATTGTAACCTATTTCTTTGTACCCTGAAATTTAAAAAAAAAAAAAAAAAAGGACATTAAAGAGAAAAAAAGGGCTTTCATTTAAATCCCAGTTTTACGACTTCTTATCCAGGTGACCTTAAGTTCTCCTTAAAATGAAAATGATAATATTGGAACTCACTGAGCTTTTAAACAATCCATATAACTCACCTAGCACTGTGATTGACTCTTGATTTATTCTTAAAATTTGATTGGTATGATGGTGATCATTGATTTTTTTCTTTTGATGGTACCCATTGTTTGCTGCCCTGGAGTAATCACTGTCACTAGCGTGGAATCCACTGCTTCTCCTCACACAGCATCCTCCCCCTTGCTGGTTGGGGCAGTCCACTGGTCCATGGTGCTGAGCCTGAGCTAATGAGTGCATCCCCAGGTCCTCTGCTGGAGCTGTGGGGACCAGAGGGTTGGCACTTTCTCTCCTTCTGAGACTCTAACACTGGTCTGTAGTAACTATCTTTACCCAAATGTGAAATCACCCTGCCTGAAAACAAAACCAGCACAGAGGAAAGGCAGATGGAGAGAGAAATGGCATCTTGAGGGCCTATTACTCCATTGATAGAGGTATGGATGAAGCAGCTCCAACCATGGATTTATGTTATACAGGGTGGACACAAAGTTTGCGTGCAATTTCAAATAGTTTAACATAGTAAATTGCATGCGAATTTTATGTCTACCTTGTATGAGGTGACACATTTTTGTGCTTATATTAATTTGAGTTTGGTTTCTAAAACTTATAATCTAAAGAATGCTTTCTAATAAATCAATAAAGAGTTTGTTTGTTGTAAGGCTAAAGGGAAAAAGGTTTTTTTCTGTGGTCCAATTAGCAAATAAAGAAATTAATATTCAATATGAAATGGTTTTCAGTAAAAGTGTGAAAAGGGCATGAGGAAAGACTGACATGTCACCTTGGGATAAGACTGACAGTAGGAGCCCCTGTGCAGAAGTGGTCAGTGTAGCTTGTGGCTCTGAAAACCAAGAGCAGACTTCCCCAGAGCCACCGAGAAGTATTTGTGGTTACAGAATGACAGGACAAATTAAGGAAGAAATTAACACCTTATCTAAGAAACAACCAGAAAGAGAAGGACTTATTGGAAGTGAAGGAGAAGGTCACTGTCTTCCCGTACAAAGGAAATCCGATACACGACAAGGACAATTACAGCAGGTGATCATGACAAGGGCACCCTGTTTGTACTGAGGAGTTTGCGCTGTTAAAAAATGCTTTCCCCAAGAAAGATACATTAAAATATTTTCCTATGAGGACAGCATAACATGTACTTAATACATGTGATATTTTCTTAATGAAGTATCATAATTAAATATTTTATCAGATATGTGTTATACATAATCACAGAAATATTATTAAGCTGTGTTATACAGAATCACAGAAATATTATTAAGCTATATATGTTTCTGTTTTTTTAAAAGCCATTACAGGGGTATGAATGATATGCCCATCCCCACTTCTCTCAGCTAGTTATAATTAAATACTTTAGTACAACTAAACACCCATTTGTGGAGATTGCCTTAGATAAAAACACTTTGATAAACACAACAGGAAACACGAGAGAATCTATTTTACCCAAATCCACTGAACCTTCTTGGAGACACCAGGATAACATATGTCAGTGACTTTTCTTCCCTACTATATATTTTTCTTTTCTACTATGTAGTCAACCCATTCTCTTTATCTTCTTGGGAAATTATAACACTAGCGTACATTTTTTGAAAACACTTTTCCTTAATTATTTTTATTTGAAAAAAAGTATAAGAATTACAATATTTAAAATGTGAAACACTCTATAAGAGGACTTTATTTCTGTGATCCGAAAGACCAAAATAGATGCCCCTTTGTCAACTAAGATGGACCCTAAGGTTGAAGAAACAGTTACCTGTAGGTCAAGGGTTCAGGGCTCAGCTGCCATGGCAAATTTCTAAATTCCTATGTCTACAAGAAAACCCACACTCTTGCAAACTCGCTAACAATAGGAGCTATCAGGCAAATTATCAGAACTCTGAATTACAACGCAGATCGCTATAGCTCTGACTGGACAAAGGATCAGCCTTACAAACGTTCTTTTCCAATAAACTACTTCTTTGTGTCCATAGGTTACCTTTTGACATGAAGGCCCAAATTCCACCTCATTTTAATGCTAAAACCCTGTCCAAGGTCAACATAGGCAACATATTACATATATGTTTACCCAGTGCACCTGCACTTGACTTATAAATATGTATAGCTTCCCCATAAATCTGCTGAATATGTATAACTCTATTGTGTAATAGGAACCCTATGAGGCATAAAACCCAACCTGTCCTTCCCCTCTTAGAAGAGAGAGTATCGCCTCAGAAACTGTCTCTTACCAGACTGCAAAGCAATATACCCAGTAAAACTCTCCTTTCTACTATTTAGCCATCCTGGTGGTCTTTCAGATGACATACCAAAAGAATACCATCAGTAATAATCTAATGTAATAAACAATGGCAAAAGTCCCATTCATATGTTCCTATCAGTGTGTGTAGACTTATTTAAAAAACAACAAGAAAACTTAGACTGTTACATACCTGAGCTTCTGGTTATATTGTTTGACCTTTTCCAATGAGGCTGCATTTATCTGGGCTTGAAATTCTTCCACAGAAACATTGTCTCTATAATAATATCCTTCCATGCTCTCCAGTGCTGTGTAAACAAGTAAATGTATTTTACAAGGAATTTATAACTCAATTTCTCCATATTTAGTGTAATTTTATTGATTATTAGTAAATGTGTCCAACAGAACCTAGCATAAACATATATGCAAGAAACTATATTTAGCTAGTCCAAAAATGAATGAAAACCATTCTGCTCTCAAATATTGAATGTTTGATGCTTTTTATGTTAAGTAGGCAATGAAAATTTCTAGCTTAAACTGTTCTCTGTTTTTAAAACATTTTGTATGTGTTTTAAGACATGAAAATGTGCCAGCCAAAAATTCACCTGTGGGAGATCAGAATATACCACCCCAAAATGTGCCTCATTGCTCTAAGGATTACTTTGATCTGGTTATTTTGAGAAACTTCAGACAGATAGAGGAGAAGTTCTGAAAACAGAGAAGTTATCCTTTGTAAGGAAAATTTCCATCTCTAAGAGCCTTTCCCTCTCAGCACCAAGAAGAGAAGGAAAACCCAAACCCAACAGATTCTTATCTGCAGAAGAAACATTACCCTCACATTTCTCACTTGAACCCATTACAAGCCTACTGCTGACATCTTTACATAGGAAATCTCATCTGACACCTCTGGTCAGTCCTGGTCACCTCTCCAATGCTGACCCCTCCCACACTCTTTTTCCTTTGTTTCAGTGAACCATGGCATGTAAGCCCAAAAGCAAAGCTACCTCTTTAAGATTTACTCACTTCTGAGCCTCTCCCATGTATCCATGAGGTATAAATGTTATGAAACATGTTTGTTTTTCCTTTTTTCTTTTTGAAGACAGAGTCGCAGTGACTCTGGGCTCAAGTGATTCTCTTGCTTCAGCCTCCCAAGTAGCTGGGATACAGACACCCACCACAACATCAGGCTAGTTTTTCTACTTTTAGTAGAAGATGGGGTGTCGCTCTTGCTCAAGCTGGTCTTGAGCTCCTGAGCTCAAGCACCCACTGGCCTTGGCCTCCCAGAGTGCTAGGAGTACAGGTGTGCTTAGCCTTGTTATTCTTTTGTTAATCTGTCTTTTGTTACAGGAATCCATTACAACTAAACACTATGAAGGATAGAGAGAAAATTAGTTCTCCTCCTTTACAACATTCTTTGTGAAGTTAAACTCAGACTTCATAATATATCATTTATATATACATGCGCACACACATTACATGTCACACATGCATATACATATTCAGAACACAAGTATGGGAGGCAGCACTGAGTATTAACATATGTCAGTGTAGGTAGGGCCAGGCGCGGTGGCTCACACTTGTAATCCCAGCACTCTGGGAGGCCGAGGTGGGTGGATTGCCTGAGCTCATGGGTTTGAGACCAGCCTGAGCAAGAGTGAGACCACATCTCTAGAAAACAGCTGAGCATTGTGGCAGGCGCCTGTAGTCTCAGCTACTTGGGAGGCTGAGGCAAGAGAATTGCTTGAGCCCAGGAGTTTGAGGTTGCTGTGAGCTATGACACCAGGGTACTCTACCCCAAGGGAACAAAATGAGACCCTTGTCTCAAAAAAAAAAAAAAAAAGTCAGTGTAAAAAACAGAGATTGTCACTTTCTCCATCTAGTCACATTCTCTTGATAACTTCCATCAAATCAAATTGAGAAATATTAGCATAATAAATAATGAGTATAGAAAAAGTGAAATCTTAGAAAACCACCTCTGCTCCAATGAGCAGTGTAGTTAAAAGTAAATATCCTTTTACTAATATTCTTTTACTAAAGATCCTACTAATTTTAATTGTCTTTTGGTTAATATAGAT